GAAAAATATGCTAAATCAAGGGTTTTAAAATCCAAAAGAAAATATAAATACAAAAGTAGAAAGAAATTGATCCTAAGAAGCCCTTAATTTAAAATAAATTGATTTATTTTAAAAATTTAAAAAAAACTTGTGAAAAATATGCTAAATCAAGGGTTTTAAAAACTAAAAGAAAATATAAATACAGAAGTAGAAAGAAATTGATCCTAAGAAGCCCTTAATTTGTTATAAATTTTACAAAATAAATTGTAAAAGTTAACAATTTTACGATGATCTATCATCCATAAGTAACGGCTAAACGATGCATACTCGCTTAAAAAAAAATTTAGATGCATTACAAGCTACTTGTTGATGGAATAACTCAGTCAAGAAAAGCACCGAAAACCACTGAAAAATTGCCACAAAAATGACTGTGTGGCAAAAGTTGAGGTTTAAACAAATTTGAGCACAAACAAAATTTTAAAAGCTCTAATCAAGCTTGAACAGACTTACGAGGGTCAGCATTGAGCCCATTAATAGATGTAGAATGGACATAAGTAAATAGAAGGCATTAGAATTCAAGGAGAGGTGGCAGTCACTAGCGTTTGGGGATTCCCCTCCATTTTGTATAGAGTTAGCATAACAAGACCTTTAAACTTATTTTAAAGTAGTTATACTGCATAAACCAATATAATTATTATCTAATAAAATTGTTGAATTATGCAATATAATAATGACTAACTTGAGACTTCACATGTAGAATTAATTAGGTTTTATAAAAAATTCAAAGGTTAAGTCAGCCTAAGTGAAGTTTAAGGTCCTTATGATTAACTTGAGACTTCACATGTAGAATTAATTAAGCTTTATAAAAAATTCAAAGGTTAAGTAAACCTAAGTGAAGTTTAAGGTCCTTATAATGAAACTTTAGTTAATTTAATTAATTCCTTGAATAAATTAGAAAGATTGTACAAGCCTATTTCTACGTGGCACAATTCATATAAAGACTAAAGTAAAAGTAAACATCATTTTTTTATGATTCATTCTCCTGTGCAGATAACTTATGGATTAATGATTCATTTATATCATACGCTGCAAATTAAGCTAAACATTTGTTGGTGATCTAAGTTCAGCAATTTTTTTATGAGTTTTGCACTATACAAACAAAAACAAAAAAGAGATCATCTAGGATTTTATATATAAAACTCCGAAAACATATTAGGTCTTACCTACTATAATATCTTTGGCTATTATAATTTGTACTATTGGATATCATCTTCCTTGAACATTTCAAACTGTAATTATAACAATGATGATGGATGAGCTATTAGGGTTATTATAGAGACAAGTACCTACAGTATAATGAAAATTATCATTGTTAATGTTTGTAGAGATATGCCAACAAAGAATTATGATTGTCTTAGAAGAAGAAATTATTTCAATTGAATGTACAAGTAGCTAAAAGGGTATAAATACAATGTGTCGGTAATGAATTAGTGAAAACATCGATAAAAGGACCAATAAATGAATCAACGGACAACATTGATAGAGGATGGTCACAATGCAGACACTAACAAAAGGTATTTATAAGAACATTGGAGTTATTATTAGTGGAATGAATAAATGATATTAAGTATATATGTCAAATGAAGGCAACAAGTTCTCATCCTAGATGGTCAAGTTGTATTTGCTTTCCTTAGTAAAGGTTAATAACATTAATCCATGTAGTGGCATACAATTAAAAATATAGCCTAATAACAATAAAGAACATTAATTTAGAAAGGGAAGAGAAAATGAGAAGGACATAACCAAAATGATAATTTTGGAAGTCAAGAAGATCTTTTGAGCGAGTGTTTTTCCTATCCTATATTATGTTAGTGTATATAATAATTATAAGAGTTATTGAGGTGGAGAAGTGGTCATCAATCAGAATGGAAAGAAAGAATGGCGCAAAAGAGATCTCTGAGGTCGCTCGTATGTAGTAAATCAATATACTAAGTAATGTTAGAACTTAAGAAGACATGATTGTCATTAGGATTTCAGAATTCCCCTCTTCTCATGTAACTTTATATAATAATAATAATAATAATAATAATAATAATAATAATAATAATAGCTAATCTAATTAGATTAAATAATTTAAATGTTTTAAACCCCTCTCAAGTCATTTTAAAAGCTCCAATGCTTTTAAATTTTATCTAAAATGGTTTTTATTAACCATGAATTAATATAAATTGAGAGACCACAAGGAATAATAATTAAGTTAATCGAGCTTAATCCTGAAATAAAAAAATTAATATTATTAAATTTTAAGCTTATAATTAAATTATTTTACTTAATGAATAATTATTTAAGCTTAAAATGGGCCATTAAAGCCTTAGTTAAGGGTTTGTTTGGGGCAGTTGCAGCTTATTAATAAGATGTTGCGCAGTAGCTCCCCTAGAAAGCTGTCGCGCAAAAGCTGTTGTGGATTAACTGGTTAATTGTTTGTTTATTGAAGTTTGAAGACAGTTGTAGCACAGTTATTTATGGATAAATAACAATTTTGCACCTATGTAGTAATATTTTTTGCAACATAAGTGTCATGATAATATATTTGATACATTAAAAACAATAATCCACTTCAAAACAGTGAAAAAAATATGATATAAACCTTACTTAACAGTGAGTATAATCATTAATAAAATAAAGAAAAAGACCATTAAAATAACATCTAATAATATGATAAAATTATTTTTAAAATGTAGACGGATTATGGCACGAGCCTGACAATCCTTCAGGGTTACTATCCATTCCCGATCACCCTCGGTGATGGACTCTGTGTGCCCTTCTGCCCACCGGAAGAAGTCACTTTTCTCTGTGATTCTCGCGAGCAACTGTAGAACTGTCTCTTGTGGTTATGTGACTGACGTGTCTTCAACAAAGAACTCTGAAGTCCATAGTGGCACAGCGATCCTCGAGAGGTAAGAGAATTTCTCGAGCTCATATTTCATAAATGCTTTAAAAGACAATCCATTTGTCATAACACAAGTATAATTTCTCTTCAAAAATAGTTAATTAAGCAGACTTGAGCTTTTAGAGAACTCAATATACCAACCAACAATTTTGTCACTACAAGAAGATAACAAAACTTGTCAAGAAAGGCTACTTGCTTTCCTTTAACGTAAGTAATATCAGGATCGTGACATATGTATTTCACCGAAAAAGTCCATCCAAAAGAACCTCAGAAATTGTATCACAAAAAAAAGAGAGGTATTTGGTTTCCTTCAATAGAATTTCACATGTGACACCAGCTAATATTGACAATCAGTTCAGAGGAGCACATAAGGTCTAATGTATCATGGAGCTCTCAAAAACACCAAAAAAAAAAAAAGAAAAAAAAAAAGGAATAAGAAAGAAAACACTCACAAACATCGTACAAACCCCAAACAACATAATTAAATATACAAGGAACGAAAATAAACATGAACTGTATAAAATAAACAACTAAAAATTTACAAAAGAAGTAATTAATTCAGTTTTATGTAGCTGTGAGGTCTGAGAGAACTCAATATGCCAATCAATGAATCTGTCATTATAAGAAGACAACTAACCTTGTAAAATAAGGGTTATTGGTTGTCTTTAACTCAAATAATACCAAGTTCTTGTGTGTCACATATGCATATCATCAAAAAAGGTAATCCAGAAGAATCTCAAATTGCAACATCAAAAAGAAGAAGAGGAACAAAATTGCCTTCATTAGAATTTCACATGTGACACCAACGAATAATAACTAGCAGACTATCTCGAAGAACCCATAAAGTCAAATGTCTCATAATTAACCTCTCAAAGCCACCGAAAGGAAAAGAAAACAAATGACAAAAAAAAAAACTTACAAACAACGTAAAAAATTTAAACAATGAATGTCATATATACAAGTAATGGATGTAATCATAAACTGTATAAAATAAACAAGAATCAGTCCATTCACCATTAAACAATGACATCTGTAATCCGTTCTCTTAAATCAACAATTTTCTCAGCACCTTCGTCATCATGTGCGCAACCTTCTTGTGATTGTCCATTTGCCTATGATACATATTATCTTATGAAATATCTGAATGCTTCAGGCGGGACGTGTAAATGATCATCATCAGCCATGTCGAAGTCTACGTCAGTTTGCGAATGATGTATTCAAATATAGTTATGGAGTGCCAATATGACCACTATAATCTACACATTCTTTGAAAATGAATATGTCGGCATATCACGCAGTTTGACCCATTTTCTATTCCACACTCAAAATGTTCTTTTAATTACACCTCATAAAGAGGAATGTCTCTTAATAAACATTTCTTTCCTTTCCCGAGCAACATTGTGGAATCATTCAATGTCAAGAATGTGATATTTAGTATCTGAAAATGACTTCAGATACTTCCTTTATAAGGGATATCTAACATGGACCAAGTAATATTTGTCTGTCACAAATGCAATAGGCAGTAATGAACCTAAAAAATATCTAATAAATTGATTTAGGTAGTAAATTCAAAACCATATTTGATAAGTACCTATCAAATATTACTCGACATAGAAAATAAAATAAAATATAATAAAAATAATGAACATTTCAATTCACACATCTTCTACTCATAAGAAATAAAATAAATACTCTTTATTTATAAAATAAAAAAAATCATGAGATTTCTCGATTATCAAAGTTCATTACTTCATTATTTATTCATATCGACTACATCATTAACTTCACACGAACCAGTTTGTTTTCAATTAAATTTAAGGCCTTGATTAATAATCTAAAAATAAACTAAATATTCATATAATAAAAAAAAATCAAATATAAACCCAACCCAACCAAAAAAAAAAAAGAAAAAAAAAACATAGCACAATTTCAACATCCTAATCAAATGAACTTTCCACCTCATGCATGCCCCAACCCATCCCTTCTCTAATCTATAATTGATAATCACCCTTTGAGAACCTTTTAAACAAGTACTAATTTGTATGCTTCTTCAATCCCCCACCACATCTCCTCAAATAAAAGGAGTAAAACTCACCCCAAAAACCTTCTCATATTTCCTTCTCATATCTATTACGCATCTTCATCGTTTATTAGAGAAATCAGGATGGCTGGTTTGCAGAGGTCTTCCGAAACCTTCAGGAGGTCTGGCTCATCTGGTCTTGTCTGGGAGGACAGACACCTCCCCGGTGAGATGAACTCCAACACGTCAAAGCCAAAGGATGACTTTGACGCCGATCCCATATCCCTCAGGCCGACACAAAGCGTCGGAGCTATCGGCATGATGAGGAGAAGCCGTTCGACCGGCGGCGGGACGGGTGGTGGTGCCAAAGCTTATAGGGCCGATCAGGTCACGCCGGCCGTAGACCCTCCTTCCCCCAAAGTATCATGTTGCGGCGCCTTTTGTGGAGATTTCGGCAAAAGCGGGTCAAATCAAAAGCGAAAGCCTCGCCGGCGCTGATCTCGAACCGGCGATCGCCGGAGATATCGAGATTATGCTTTATCTTTTACCTTTTTTTTATGCCGGCCTTTTGTGCTGCCGGTTGACTCTTGCTTTGCTTTTTGTCAATTTCTGAGTTTTTCGATTAGATGTGTGATGGAAATCTGCGGCATATAATCGAATGACTGTTTTTTTTTACTTTTCTTTTGCTGTTTACTCTGTCATTTTTTTTTCTAGGGATTCACGCTTTTTTTTTTTTTTGCCTTTTTTTAATTAAAAAAATTCATAAAGTTGATATCTTTAGTTAATAATCAGTATGATATAAATTTAATTATATTTTGTTTTTTAAAATAAATTTAATTTTTTCTTATAATGACCTCCCCACCAACAGCTCAAAATTTTCTGACATACACACAGATATATATATATATATATATTAGTATCTAAAAAATAAATTTCCTGAAAAATTATTATAAAATTAAGAAAATAATAAATAAACTAAAACGCCCCAGACAAAGGCTGAGAGGTTGTTCAAGTTGCTCCATCACCTCCCTCCTAATAAGGCCAACTCTACTCACCTTTTAAATGATCTAAGGAGTAATCAAGAAACAAATGGAAGCTCTTTATACCATAGAATTATAAATATATAATCCCTGGTTTCCCCTTGTGCTATATTCAGAATGAAAGAAAATGAAACGAAATGAAATTGAAATGATTTCTTAATTGACTATACATGAATTTCTTACTATTAATTCTACCTTTATAATTGCTTTTTTTCTTTTTTTGGTTGGGGTGGGGTGATATTTGTGCATATACTTATCTAACACTCCAAATCTGATGTTTAGCATGCTTACTCATGATATAATGGTTGAGTGTTTAGTTTCTCATTGCGAGGTCGCGGGTTTGAATCATATATATTGCTCTTTAGACTCAATTTTCTGAATTAAAAAAAATGATGGTTACACTTATGATACTATAGTTTAACAAATTTATCAGAAAAATGTGTATTTCAACGTTTTAATAGATAATAATTGTGATATTTTTTATGTGATATTAAAAAATGGAGGTGTATATGTAAATATGAATGTTTAGGTGTTAAATTTTTAAATACATATAATTTTGTGGCATGTATGTGAATGCCCCCTTTTTTCTTCTTTATTTAGTGGTTTTATTGTTTAAAAATACTGTGATTAATTAATTTTACTCAAGTTTTCAAAAAATAAAATAAAATAATTTTACTCAACTTTGCAAATACCTTATTACGAAATTTAATTATTGTTTTATCACCATTTGATAAAAAAGACATTTTTTTATATTTAAAAACAACTCGAAGGCAGTATTTCTTAAATGTATTTGATAAGATTATTTATTTGTATCATTTTGTAGTAGTTGTTGATGAATTGACATCAATAATTAAATTTCGTAATAAGGTATTTGCTTTATATGCTACAAATAGTGGCATTTTCTTATGTGATGTTAAGAATTTGAGCGTTATGCATGCAAACATTAAAATTTAGGTTTTAGATATGTAATTTGTTGATTCTTGATTTTTTTGTGAATTACGCTTAAGAAATTGAGCGTAGGACGGAGGAGAGAGAGAGAGAGAGAGAGAGAGAGAGAGAGAGAGAGAGTATTTTAGATAAAGGGTATCATGTGTGAATTTACATATGTGCACCTGCTTTAATGGGGGTTGTATAGTTTATTACAAGTATTTAACACGTGGGCCGAAAACTTGGTGGCTCTAAGGCTCGGCTGGATGGATTGGCGAACCATTCAAAAGGCACTGTTAGTTGGCTATGTTAGAGACACATCAATCGACTTGGTCTGGTAAAACTACCAACAAGCTTGTTTTGATATTGTTGGTTGGCTGGGTTTTTACTGGCAAAAGGTCGGTAGGGTTTAGGTGGTCATCTCAGTGAAGCAGATCAGTAGATCAAGTCTAGTCGTTGACACTCAATCTCTAACATGAAGTTTCTATTAGCTTGACGAAGCTGGGCTATTGGGCAGAGGATGTGTCATAGTAATCTGATAGATAAACACCCTTAGATGAAGAGATCTTTGGGGATGCCTGAGATTTGTCTTATTAACACTGATCATGTTCACGGCGGTTGTTGAATACCTCCAATGGAATTGTAAAACCTGAGATATTGGCTTTCCCCTTTCGTTGGTTTCATCATGGGGATGCTTAGATTCCCTTGTACTTGGCAGCCGATCATTAATCTTAATGATTTTAATCGAACACATCGACCCTTAAATCCCTTAAACGTGGGCCCTCCTGTGACACATCTTATCTTATCTGTGTCATTAAATCCTCTAAAGATTCGTGTTGATACTTTTCCATATAGATACTCAGTCCTCTGATTCACTTTCTTTTTGGAACTCATGCTGTGATAAGAATAAGATAACTTAATGTAAAATGTAAAATGTAAATTTTATTAATGATAATTTAATAATTGAATGGTTGAACTTTCTAGGCTTCTGTGCTATGCATTTTATTAAATAAGGCTTGAATGGACTCGACTTCTTATTTGCTTCCCACTTCTTCCTTGCTTTTACATTATTTGAGCTTGGCGAACAACATATCGGCAGGCAGTGGGATCAAAGACATTTGATAGGGCAGCCTATAGGCTAGCTTTTGGAGCAATGAGGGTGAAGTTTCAAACCG